GGAAGACTCCTGATGTGACTTTTCATGAGTTTCCAGTGATCGAGGTCCGTGAAAATGGATCAAAGTGATTTTTATAAAAGGTAACTCTGTTCAATTAGGCGTTGTCTGGCATGCTGAAAATGTAATGTGTTGCAAATGACTACGTGTCTCTAAAGGAGTGAGTTGCTGGGCTGGTTGGTGGTGCATGACAGGCTGAGACGCATACTGGCGCAAAAAAAATAATAAACCGACAACCCCAAGAAAGTAAAAGACGACACGCTATACTCACAACTGTCTATTAGAAAAAAACGGAAAGATGACAATGGTGTGCATATGGAAGCCATGTGACTATATGTGGTTATGCAACGTGGTTTTCAAACACACCCATTGTGGGAAGAAGCAGCTTCTTCGAGATTGCTTTGGTAGCTTCACTACATTACCAAAAAGAGCAGAGATCGTTGCATAAGTGAATATATATATCCTCTGTCGCTTAGTTAGACCTCGAACTTGAATTTATGCGCTACCGCGTCTGATATAAACGTGTTAGTTTACCCGTCTACGCGCATGCATGACAAAAGGACATATGTGTGAAACCTTTTCTTCTAATGAAAAGTTGTGAGTTGCGCGTGTCCTTGTCTTCTTTCTTGTGGTCATCCGTTTTATTTAGTGCGAATGTATCTCAGCCAGTTACGTGTGTCACATGGTTAACGAGGTGAAGTCATACGCTAACTTTATAACTGTGTTTTATTCACTTCGCCACCATGGTATAAACTTTTAATTGCATGATATACTCCTTAGAAAAGATCAAAAAGATTTGTATTTTATTCGAAATAATTAACTGAGTGTTCATCATCTTATTGGCAATAAAGTTTGGCTCCCAAATGACAGGTCGAAGGTGTGCACTTTGCTCCTACCGACTATAAGCCGGGACTAAAGATAAAAAGACTGAAAGCAGATGTTGTGCCGTCAGTGTTTCTACACTACCCAAAGTACATGATGCCTCCCCTGGCAAAATCCGCCGAACCTAGAAACGTTCAAATGTTCAGGAGCATGGACCCTGCCCGAAGAAAAAAAAGTGACTAACAATGTTTAACGCTCGGCGTCTCCCCACGGCTCTTGCATACAAATTGGACCAATGAAAACGAATTTCAAGGAAAGGCGTATAACAGAACGCAATTTTTCAATGCAGGAAAACAACAGGTTCAGCCCCGGTGCAGCAGAGCTTGACATCGAGCGACATGTCATCAGTACCATCCGCAAACACAACTGCGCGGCCATCCTCACACGTTATGCACCCTCCCACCGAGCCCCACTCCCGCTCTTCGATTTTCGACTTCTGGCTACCCGCGGACTGCCAGAGACAGCCAGAGCGCGCTTGTTTTTCTCGGGCTGCTCCGTATCCCCCCCACCCCCCGCGGCGCATTCCCGGTTGGCATTCGTTTTTCTGATTGATTTGTGGGGTTTAACGTCCCAAAACCACCATTTGATTATGAGAGACGCCGTAGTGGAGGGCTCCGGAAATTTTGACCACCTGGGGTTCTTTAACGTGCACTCAAATCTGAGCACACGGGCCTACAACATTTCCGCCTCCATCGAAAATGCAGCCGCCGCAGCCGGGAATCTAACCCGCGACCTGCGGGTCAGCAGCCGAGTACCTTAGCCACTAGACCACCGCGGCGGGGTGAATTCGTTTTTCTCGGGTTGGACGTTCTGGCGACCCGCGGGGAGCCCGAGGGTCGCCAGACGCTTCCAAGACAATTTAGTCGTGGAAGCTTTCTGGAAGGTTTTGGGCAGGTTTCGGGCTAGTAGACGCCGAAAAGGTACGATGCGCGCTCGGTGCCATCTTTGTGAGGACTCGATGGATTGTAAGTGGGCGCTTCAGGACTGCGCCTTCGCTTCTCATTACGCGTGGCGTTATCTTCTAAAGCCTGTTCCGCCTTGCGAGATATGAGGCGATTACGAGTGGCGGCGAGTGTTTGAAACTACTGTTCATTGCTTTTGTTCTGTTTTCCGTGAAGCTTCCTCCGGTGAACAACGCGGTGAACTACTGACTGTGTCGTGCACATGCCTCGAAAGGTATGCACTACACGTTCGTGCGCACGCATGGAGACAACTTTGGAGTTTTTTTTTTCTTTCGTAGTGGTCGTTTGTGAAGCTGTGCCTGCTTTCTGTGCACTTAGCAAAGACGATTGTAGTCAAACTAGCTCTCTTTGTCGTATGTTTGCGTACGTGAACCCCTTAGAACCTCTGTCCTGACTACACGATTGATCTTCGATGGTGATAGAAGGCCCTAGATCACGACTGTTGGTGATGCTCGCTGGTCGCGAACGGCGTGCGAACCCATTTCCATCTATATGAGCCAGCATATATCTGGTATGATATTATACGATACGACGCGATAAAAAAAAGGAGAATGGACTCAGAAATGTATACATCCTTTCGTGGCCAATTTCATCGTTGGCTTTGTCTTTTTTCACCTCTTCGTAATAATGCCGCGCAGTACGTACTGTGACCTAGTAGGTCAAATCAAAGCTGATATACATGACATTCGTTAAGTGCCAATTAGCACTGGAAAACAGGCCAAGGCAAGTTCTAAAAATGGGTCGAGAACGTGTCATGCAAATGTTTATTTTATATACGACGCGCACTCGTGGTACCGATACCTGCGCATATTGTAAACTTTAGACAAAAAACGTAAGTTAGTCAACGTGTGTTTGCGACGTATGATACGCGATAGCTGAGCAGGTATATATCTTCAAGCTCTTTTGGGGACACGATCACTTCCGTGTGACTTCGCGTCATGTTGTGCAGTGGCTGATACATGTACTAAAAAGACGTGAGCTTGTTGAGCCGTCACCGTCGCGGCAGCTCACCTTGCATCGTTCTCAAGGCAGCGTGCGCAAGCTGGCTGTTTCGTTCGCGGACGCGGCGAGTGATGGTGCGAGCGTACGAAGTCGTACCCCAAATGCGTACGCTCGAGGATATTATTTCAGCTTTTTGGCGAGCTTAGAATGCAGAAAAAAAAAAAACGACATACACGCGACGCATTGTTTTGTTTGCTACCATGACGGTAGAGTTTGTTTACGTTTATGCTGGCTGTCCTGCGTTCGATTTTGCGACCTTCGGGCTGTCGCCTGGCGGGCGCGTAGCCAGCTTACGTCATTTGCTATCAGAACCAGATGCAGCGGTAGCTTTCGGGGAGCCCGCGGGTCTCCAGAACCGCCATATTGCCCAGTGAATATGGCCGCCATGATATCATTTCCTCCACTATAGAGGCATAGAGAAAGAGGCTCCACACTTTTTACGCCGCGCGCCTGCTGGGCATGCCCTCTCCTACCTTTCCTTCCTCCGTGGCTCAGATAGATCAAATCTCGCCAGAATGGCCGTCTGCACCAAGCAGACACTGAATGTAAGTAACGTTTATTCGTTTTTGATTTTAACATGAAATTAGCCAGAAATTACATCAGTTACGTTGTTTAATTTAGCTTTTTCTTCTCGACGTGAAGTGGCGCATCGTCGCGTAAAAGCTGTCTAAACGTGTTCTAATCCTCGGACAGCAAGGGCTCGGTGCGGTCTTCTAAGTAGTCTGCGTAGACCTTGGCGTAGACTGCCTATGTGCCACGGAGGAACGAAACGCCGGTCATCTATGGCAGCGCTGCCACGTAGAAGCAAGGGTCTTTGTACTTGGCCTTTGAGATCGGCAATTTTGGCGTTTGTTACTAATTTTAGAGGATGCCTTGTATTAAAAAAAGGTGCTTGTTGAATGACGGCGTTACTTACGTAGGGTTAATTAAATTTTTGTTCACTCTTTTTACAAATTTTTTTACGTTATTTTTGTTGCACATAAGCTCCCAAAACACAAAAACCTATTTGAAGACACCCCCTACTTGAGTGGCGCCACTACCGCAGTACCGACCATGACCTACTACACTCCTGACCTGTTCAGATAGCGGGGTTCCTATGGGAGCGCGTGTCCCCGCTCTCGTTCAATCGCTCGCCGTAGGTGGCGCTACCTATAACCTGTTCGTCTGCTACTTTACGGCTGTTTGGACGGCGCTAGAGTAAGAACGGCTGCATTCCGTGATGAACAGCCGGCATATATGTGACTATTTTTTCACTTAGATGACTGGTCAAGTAAGCTGTTCAGTGTGACGAAAAATTTATTGCACACTGGTGGACAAATGCGAGAATCCGTAGACTTACATAGTGTAGGACAGCATATGTGATGTTGCGTCCATTTAATTGCAAAGAATTTGTGAATGACTTTTGAAATATTTGTTTCAAAATTATTTTTCATTAGTGCATAATAATTACGCAATATGAGTGCTCTGTTGGCCGAAATATGACCACGAACACTCAAGCTGACGTCAGCGAACAGGTGCTGACTAGCGCCACAGTGCTCCTAAGTTACGGCCCTAGCGGCAGAAGGTATAAACTAGAACGTGGGCGCTGGAAGAGGTGCTCTCTGGGCAGGTCAGGAGTGTAGTAGGTCATGGTACCGACGACCGCCGCTTCCCAAGTAACCGCCGATAAACCGGCAGGCACAAGAAATCTAGGAGGCGTTGGCTGGTACCGCCCGCCCAAGGAGGATATATCCTCCTTGCGCCCGCCTGATGTTGGATGAATGGATGGATGTGGCTGTACCCTTTCGATCGGGCAGCGGCTAACGTCACCTAGCCGTAATACTTTGTGAACTAATCATTAGATTTATATTTTTTTTTCTTTAAATAGTAAGGTTGAGGATTCGTACTTTGCAGTGAAGGGTTTAATTTTCACTCGTGCTTTGAGTTTAGCCACCAATCAGATAACCTCCTTCTAGTTAATTCTACCAGCTTAAAGTCTATTTTGCCCTCCCTGTCCCTAAACCCCAGTGCTTTGAAAAACTCTGTGCCATCATCCTGAACTATAGGGTGGAGCCCTTGTCACAACATTATCAAGTGTTCGGCGGTTTCTTATTCCTCTCCACACGCACTGCATACTGTGTCTACCGCTTCGTATTTGGCCCGATATGTCTCGGTTCGCATAGTGTCGGTCGCGAGTGCCACTGCGCGACGCTTGCTCAAAGCTGAAGGCAGGTCAACTTCTTTGGGGGCGCGAGCCATTCCTCAGGCATCTTCCTAGAGGAGGCGTTGGTTGAGCAGCAGCGTCATGTCGGGCAGGGAAGGTAAGTGCAGTTGCTGCTAAAATGCTTCTCGTGCCTTAATTACGTGATTAAACTCACCCATAATTCGGAATTTCAGGCGGCAAGAAAAAACCCCTGAAGATGGCAAAAAAGGAAGGGAAAGATTATGACGAGGTATGAATTGAATGATCGCGCTGCCATGTGAACTGAATCTTCGGCATTCGGGCCGGTTTTAATACTTCCAAACCAGTTTCTCCTTCCATATTCCAAACTTGCTGTCCACTTGTGATAAGTATAAAATAACCGAGAGTCGAGCTACTTGGTAAGTATTCATTGTAAATGGCGGGGTGTGCGAGCGCGGGCACAACACAGCACTGTGAAGGCGCACATGGCGCAAAACGCGACTGTCATTACCGTGCAACAGGTGAACCTATAGATCCGTGGGGTCTACGTTAAACAAATCTGCTTAGGCATATAATTTCTTTGTGCAAACTTGTTCACTCACTCATGTGCTACCACTACCATGACTCAATCATTAAATGCGTTGCTTTTATTCCTACCCAAGTACACAACTACGCATTCATCGAACTCTCGGCAGCATAAAAAAAAAAAAAAAAACATTAGAAGATGAGCCTCCAATTAGCAATCTCTTATAACCCAATCATTTCTCGTTTCCCCAGCGACCCGTCAGTCTTGTCTATTACTGGTTCATTCTATTTTATGAACAGCTGCACAGATCTTACCTAGCTTATTAGCAGCCTAGAAAAACAGCACTCTATCCATTTCCTTCTTTCTTAAGCGCGTGAGATATGCAATAAATGCAAGGAATACTTGTGACACGTTTTTTTTTTTTTTTTTATCGCCATCTACCATCATGCTCGGACCGATAATGGCCACTGCACAAGCGCTTAGCCAGAAATTTTTTTTGTTGGGGGGGGGGGGGGGGGGAGCACCTTTTTGATTTCGGAAGGGGAACCCCCCTGAAGTGGTCATTTTTCGCTCTCTGTGCCATGGCGGAAATAAAATGGAAGGGGGGGGGGGAGGGCATGTGCCTGGTTTGCCACCCCCTGGCTACACCTCAGCCACTGCATCAAGAGGATAACCTACATCTAAAAGATGCGTGACCTCTGCATTATAGCTGGCACTCATTTGTGCTCACAAGACTTGGTTAGCAAAGATTTAAGGGCTTAAGGGCAGCCTTTTCAGCGTCCTTCGAGGCGAATCACGCTCATGGTGACAACGGGTGTGCTCTAATGGTTATGACTATTATTTGTGATGCAATTAAACTGAATAGCACGTGAGAAGTGTTGAGTTAATCAGCATTGCGTGGCAGAGTCCTTGCTGTTCTTGTTGGGTTCTAATTCATAAGAATTGAAACATTTGATATTATTCTTGCATTTAATGATAGTATTATCACATGTTCTAAAATTTAAAATAGTAATTAAATAACTACAGTCAATTTGTTGGAAAACGTTTTTGCTACACTAGACCATAAATTGCGGATAGAACTACGTGACATCCCACAAAAAAATCAAAACAAACAACAAGAAGCTCCAAAGTGACGAATTGGCTTTGGCAATGATTACCAAGCTTGTATCTACTAAATAAAATAGTTCAACAGTATTTGAGACAAAGTGTGATCGCTTTTCAGCCGTTTTCTAACTTTAAACATTGTTTTGAGAAAAGTTCATACTCTTGCTAATACTGGCAGAGGTCCGTACAGGTCTATCCCAACAACCTCTAAAGATAGCGTCAGGAGGTTGAAGAAATGAACCGGAACGAAGCAATTAGAACGCCCGACACCGGAAGGGAAGAAAACAAAGGCGAGGACACAGAGCCCGCGAGGGACGGCAAGACAGATTGTTCGCCATGAACGCAGAATAAAGTCGCGTTTTCTCTTATGGTTTGGGAGCCAGTCGTTTCGTAATACTTGGTGCCGCGAAACCCGGGACTGCTTCCGAAGAAACGCCTTCACGTCATGGCCATGGCAAACTCGGACCACCTGCGGAGGAAGCGAGGTGCACTCAGGGCTGGCGTCATGCGAGCCCTTACAGGCTCACGGATCTTCTGCAACAAATGGATCCTGACCTCTCGGAAGTTTATGTACACCTTGACTATCTCAAGGAGCCTACATTGTCAAGACTGGACGACGCAATTTTTTCGCTAACAGGTGAAGATGATGTTGACTGCGAAATAAAAACGGCGCAGGATTATAGCGACATGATTAGCTACACCATCGCGCGCATGAAGTACTGGTTGCAAGGTCATCAGCGAGCTACCACGATGCATGCTGAAGGTTTCGGATCAGGATCGAGCAACGCAGACCTTCTGAGATCCGTCGATGCTTCGGACCATGCGAGAAAGCCATGTCACAGATCGGTTGTACTGCCCAGGCTACAGATACTTATCTTCAATGGCAACCTGCGTGACTGGCAGGCCTTTTTGGATCATTACGACACCACGATCCACCAAAACCCCAACCTACCATGCATTGAAAAATTCAAACATTTGCTTACGTACTTAACTGGCAGCGCTTAACGGTCAATCAAAGGAATCCGGATAGTCGAGCAGAATTACGCGAGCAGAAAACGCTCGCGGATCGGTTCGGATGGCGAGATGTCGTCATCAATGAGCACGTGGATCATCTTTTGACATTGACTCCTGTGAAGAGCTCATCAGAAGTTGCTAAACTTCGCACACTTTGCACACAATGGGCTATTCCGAGTGAGCGCTTTAGAAGGCCTCGGCGTGTCCCCGGATCAATACATCGTGGTACTGAATCGAGTCATGATGCGCTGCTTGCCAGACGATCTGGCTATCATGTACCGACAAAGGATGAAAAAGGATGACCATGCCAATAGTGGGACGGAGACTTCCGAACACAGACTGCACCAAGCGTCGATGTGGCGTCTTGATGCCATCGGAATTGACAAAAGCTATTCACAACCGTTTGAGATCGACGCGTACCTCTCCACATTTGAGCGCTGCATAACGAAGCGAGGTAGATGTTATCAGGTGCCGCTCATGGTGGAACAGCTAGGACTACCAGTCAGAAACAGTAATCGCCGACTGACAGAACAGTGACTACAACGTCAAATCAACCATTTCCGAGAGTAGCCAACGTTACTTAGAGAAATACGACCTGGCTGTTACCGCATATTTCGAGGACGGACATGCTGAGAAGGTGCAAGAAGGGTAGCCAGTCGGAGATAATGTATACTATATGCCTCATCACGCAGTAGTTCGTTGGGACACCGTCACAACAAAGCTTCGAGTGGTGTTTGATGCGTCATCACATGAAGCTGGTCATCCCTGCCTCAACGATGTCCTATCAAAGGGCATCAAACTCGGCATGGACATTGTCCAGCTACTGCTGAACTTTCGATGCCACCCTGTCGTTCTTGCAGCAAACATGAAGAAGGCATACCTCCAGCTGTTGATTCGGCTTGAAGATCTTGACCTTCTGAGGTTTTCGTGGCTGGAACGACGGCCAACTAAGGAAGAGCCCATGCCACCGATTACAATGTGGAGGATGACCAGAGTACTGTTTGGAGCTGTATAAAGTCCGTTTCTTTTGGCGGTTACAATTCGTCATCACCTGTTATCTTGTTAGCTGAACTATCCAGAAACCGTAACCTTATTGGGCACGCATTCTACGTAAAGGATCTTATCATCGGGCTACCCAGTACGCAGGGGGCAATGAAGGTATATGAAGAAACGAAACAATTATACGAGGCAAGCATGAAAATTCGCAAGTGGGCCTCAAATTGCGACGAGCTGAAAGAAAGATTCTTGCGTGGCAGCTGCGCCATCGAAAATGAAGCTGGAGACAATCTAAAGATGAAGGTTTTAGATGTTCCCTGAGAATGTTCAGGCGATCACCTTATCCTGGGCACTGAGCACGCAGCTATGTTTGCCACAGGAAAGCCGGCTACCAAACGTACAGCACTGAGAACCTGGGGCAAAGTATATGACCCACTGGGTTACCTCACTCCATTCACCCTAAAGGCTAAAATGGTATTCCAGAATCTATGGAATAGAAATCTTGCAAGGGGCGCCACTATACCTGAAGGTAAACAGGCCGAATGGAATAGTTGGTGTTTCGAGCTGTCCGACTCGTCCGTCACTATCCCACGATATATATTCTTACGAGACAAAAATAAGCCCTTTTTATTTGAGCTGTACATCTTCGCAGATGCCAGTCCTATAGCATACGATGCTTGCACTTACGTACGAGTGAACTCACCACCTGAAACGTGTTTCACACGACCCTTGATCAGCAAGGGCAGACTTGCTCGTTTGAAAATGGTATCGCACCGTGATGGCGGTGCGGTTTATAAGCTACATGCAAAAGGTTCCTTTTTTCCAACAGGCCACTGTTGCCTTTTGGACGGACTCGCTTGTGGCACTAAACTGGATAAAGAGTTCAGTGACGAAGTTGGAACCATTCAAAGCGCACCGTGTCACCGAAATCCAGCAGCATACCAGACCTTCCCAATGGTTTCACTGTAGCAGCAAAAAAAAAATATCCCGCCAATGTCATCACTTGACTATCACTTTCTGATCTTACCAAATCGTCCAAGTGGTGGCATGGCCCAAGCTGGCTGTGTGACAAAACAAGGTCTTACGAAGGTATAGACGTCAGCGAATCATGATCGAGGATATTCCGCTGAAATTACATCCATTTTGTTCATCCGCCAATAATGTTCGCCACGGTTTCGTGCCCCTGGAAAACTGTGGAGCTCTTTAGCAAGACTGCTAAGAGTGACTGCATGGATCCAGCGTTTCAGCCGCCACGCAAGATGCTTCCCATTAGCGTCTGGTCCTCTGACAGCAGAATAATTATTTCAAGCTGAGCATTATTGGTTGCATATAATGCAGGAAGACTCGTTCCCAATCGAGGCCCAAGCACTGCAGAAAAGTCTGCCATTACCTTCAACATCCCCTGTACTTCGTTTGTGCCCGTTTATGGATGAGGAAGGCCTATTTCGCGTCGGGCGACTGCAAGAGCTGCACGCTGAACAGGACATTCGTCACCCCATCTTACTATCAAGTGACCGTAAGCTCACCAGCTTGCTTGTTTGGGCAGCACATATGCGTACGATCCACGGTGGTACTGAAGCAACCCTCACTGAGCTTCGAGAGCGTTTCTGGTTATTGAGAGGGCGTCAAAC